CCTTGGTTAAATTTATTTCTAGGTACCTTGTTATTTTTTTATTGCAAGAGTAAATGGTATTGTTTTCTTAGTTTCTCTTTTTAATAGTTCATCATTGGTGTATAGAAATGCCATCAATTTCTGAGTATTAATTTTGTATCCTGCTACTTTGCCCAATTCATTTATTATATCTAGTAACTTTCTGGTGAAGGCTTTTGGATTTTCTATGTACAATATCAGGTCATCTGCAAATAATGACAGTTTTATTTCCTCCTATCCAATTTGGATGACTTCTATTTTTTCTTCTTATCTGATTGCTGTGGCTAGGACTTCTAATACAATGTTGAATAAGAGTGGTGAAAGCAGGCATCCCTGTCTTGTTCCTCATTTTAAGAAAAACGCTTTTAGTTTTGCCCGTGGAGTATTATGTTGGCTGTGGGTTGCCATATGTGGCCTTTATTATGTTGAGGTATGTTCCCTCTATTCCCACTTTGCTGAGCGTTTTTGTCATAAATAGGTGCTGGTTTTTTGTCAAATGCTTTTTCTGCGTCTATTGCTATGATGTGGTTTTTATCCTTCATTTAGTTTATGTGGTATGTCACACTTACTGACTTGCAGACATTATAGGAGAGGATCCTCATTATGAAGTGATATAAACTGATCTCCAAAATGGTTTGGCTAAGAAAATAAACAAGATGCAGAATACCTAGGATAGAGTGGTTCTAGAAAAACACATAAGGCCTACAGTTGGGAGTATGCAAAACACAGTTTATTCTTATATTTTCATTACTTACTAATTATTGTATTATGTCCCATACAAACAACTATAAACCTACTTTTTCCCACCTTGTATAATGTGAAGAGTTTGGGGGAAAGGAACTCTGGGTAGACAACAGAGCTGGAAAAGAGATGCTAAAGGACAACCCTTCAGTCTTGATTTCAAAAGGTTCCTGTTGCCAGACACTAGATTAGGGGAAACTGTGACTACCTCAAGTAGACTTTAAGCGTAACTAACTTTGGAAAGTTTCCATATCTACTTACAAGTGAACTTTCCAATCAGAATGCTAATTTCTTCACCTGAAGAGACAGAGTGAAAAGAGCAGTAGGTAAGGTCGTCAGTACAAAGGTCATTTCATCTCTGGGAAGGGACGGCCCTCACCCCCAATGATGGTGGTCAGTTAGCAAGATGAACCAAGAGGCACAGAAGAGCAGCCATTAACCAAAGCGGACAGAAACTGGAGAGAGCCGAAACCGGTTTGGCTCAGTGGTAGAGCATCGGTCGTGGACTGAAAGGTCCCGGGTTCGATTCCGGTCAAGGGCATGTATCTTGGTTGCGGGCATATCCCCAGTAGGGGGTGTGCAAGAGGCAGCTGATTGATGACTCTTTCTCATCAATGTTTCTAACTCTCCCTTCCTCTCTGTAAAAAATCAATAAAATATATTTAAAAAAAGAAAAAAAAGAAACTGGAGAGAGAATGCTTCAGCACAGCTGAGCTGTTAACTGAATGTGGCTGAAAGGACCAACAGAAGGCGCACTATAAAGAGGGAGTTAAAGAAAAAGGACCAGGACACGCACTGTTGTTGTGGTGACTAAGTTCACACTGGAAGGCAGAGCCCTGGTACCTGACAGTGTGAAGAAGCTTCTACAAAGATTAAGAACGTTCCCTGATAGCATGCCGGCCTCCAAGGTTGGAGGGAGACTCCCACGGTGCCTGGCCACAGCTAATTCGGCCAAGATCATGAGGAAAACAACTACTCAAAGGAAGTAGCATAATTTGTTGACCTTGCTTAGACTAAGTCTAAAATTCACAGTAACTGAAATAATTTAGGAGCACATAAAGGATAAGCCAGCAATCTCCACAAACATCAGATGAGGTAAAACAAAACAAAACAAAATAAAAAAAACAGGTGACAGCATTCACAAAACCTAAAGAACACACACTCTATTTTATAATGCACAGGTTCAAACTTCCATCTCCTTCTAACAGGCTCCTGCTAGGGAGATAAACTATTTTTAAGGAAAAGTTATACCCAGAATGAATGTGTAAGTTTCCTGGTGATTCTCACTAAGGCTTCAGTGCATTTTCTTACTGACACCATCAACGGCATTCTTGGCAAAAAAGATATGATATTAGTGTCACAACATTGTAAGCACTGAAACTATCTATCATGCATAAATTCTGCTTAATGCAAGTGTCACTTATTTTCCTCATTTTGAAAAGAAGCTACGTTTCATTTAATAATAATTCTCTAGTTCTATCAGAATCTGTTCTAAGCGATGCTTCACCTAAAATCAGTTCTGAAGGCTCTTTCATGAACAGGCATAATGCAAAGACCCCAATTACATTTCCAGCAAAGCGCTGCCATTGGAGTAAACAGAGCTATCTCAGCAGGTCACATTATTTGCAAGAATTGCAGCTTAGAAATTAATTACCAGTGTGGCATATGTCAAAACAAGCTTTTAAGAGAACAGAATGCAATTGTAACCATGTGTTCTATTTGTTTGAATATGAAAGCAGTATTCTCTGGCATGTAAATATATTTATTTATTCAGAAAAATAAAAAGGTTCACTCCCCCCCACTCCCCTCCCTTCCCCTGCACCCGGTGAAACCTGAGTAGCTAGCTCATGTTTACTAAGTCAGAGCCTAAGAACAGAAGGAAGATGTGGTGCAGGGGATATTTTTGAAAGGCAGAAAGAAGTTATCTTCAGACAAATGACTAGTTTTGAAACATTCAGTTTGCTTTCAAAACAAGTTTTTCAAAGACATACATCACCTACAACAAAGCTTTAAATAACAGTAAAGGTGTTTCATAAAGAAGACTAATCTGTAACAGCGATTTTTAACCTGTGTGCTGCGAGAATTTTTAAAACATGCAATACCTAACTCTTTAGTCAAGGGCACTGACCTTTTCTCTCTTAGATTGTCAAATTTAAAAATGACAACAGCAAACACAACAATAGGTGTCTGGTGAATGAATCAAAATTATACTTGGTTTTTGTTACTGTTTTTTGTCTGATTGGCAAAAAACATATTTTGGTGTGCTGCAGAATTTTAATAATTAGTTTATGTGTGCCATGAGATAAAAAAATCATTAAGTATAGTATTTAAAAACAAACAAACAAAAAACACCTACCTAGGAATAAACTTAGGGCTTTGAAGGAATTTCAGTATTCTGCTGTGACAACAATATTTATTTAAATAAAAACCATTTCAGAGGTGAAAGTGTTTTAGCATCTAAGGAACACCAAACAGAAAACAAGAACACAGAGCAGATGTAGGCAGATGCTCTTCTGTGTTTTCCTTAATGAACATTATGTCCCAATCCTGTTCATAGTTATACAAATATGAAATCATTATGTTGTACATTTTAAATGCCTTATAAACCTATTTGTCAATTCTATCTCAATAAAGCTGAGGGGAAACCATAAGATTTAAGCTCATTTAAAAAGAAAACAAAATTATATCCCAAACCAAAGTCTTATATCTTACATATCTGCAAATCAACTTTTAAACTTCAAACAGCTCCTTTATATAAGGCAGAAATTAAAACATGCCTCCAGCAGTAATATACTGAAATCACTCAGCTTTAAAAACAAACAAACAAAACAAAAACGGAATGGGGGTAGAGGTGGGCAGGAAGAGGTACAAGAAATTGACCACATTGAATCATAGGATTTTAGAGTTAGAGGGCACAGGGGATAAAATGGCTTGTGGGTCAGGACTCCAGGTCAGAGTACACTTCCCAGCTCATCAGATTGTTACCAGGAAAATAAGAACTAACTGTATGATACAGACTTTTCAGACACTTATCTCCGAGAACAACTTTCCTGACCAATTTCTCACAAATGCTGTGTATTAACTTCATATCTCACCCTCTGTAGTTATTTCCCAATATTTCAGCTACAACAAATACTCACCACTCTAGGATTACCATGAAGCTACAGGGTAGTCGTTCATCAAACCAATTCATCTGACCCATTTATTACATGCAAGAACCAAGACAAGACTAAAGAGTATTTTAAAAAGAGATCTTAGCCCTAGCTGGTTTGGCTCAGTGGATAGAGTGTCAGCCTGTGGACTGACGGGTCCCGGGTTCGAGTCTGGTCAAGGGCACATGCCCAGGTTGCAGGCTTTAACCCCAGCGGGGGGCATACAGAAGGCAGCCAACCAATGATTCTCTTTTATCATTGATGTTTCTCTCTCTCTTCCTTTCTCTCTGAAATCAATAAAAATCTATCTATATAATAGAGGAATATGCAAATTGGCCGGGATGCCATAACATCACAACTGAACAGCAGGAACATGAGGCTGCTTGGCACCTGGCCAGGGTGAGGGACCTTTAGGCCGTGCCCCTCACCTGGCGGGGCTTGACAGGGACCTCAGACGGTGCCCCTCACCCAAGGTCACTCCCCTTGCCCAACAGGGCTTGACAGGGTCCCTCAGGCCACACCCATTGCCCAGCGAAGCATGACAGGGGACCTCAAGCCATGCTACCCCCCCTGGTGGGGCTTGACAGGGGACCTGTGACTGTGTCCCCCACCCAGTGCTGGGCCGGGGGACCTGAGGCTATCCCCCACCTGGTGCCAGGCTGGGGGGTCTGAGGCTGTGGCCCCTGCCCGGAGGGACTTGACAGGGGAGAGGGGACCAGCTGGGTCTGGATCTCCTGTATTTTCAAAGCGCATGTGGATGGTAGGTGGGGACTTGACTCTAGCTCCTGTCGCATGTCCCAGACTCTGACAGGAGGGAAATTTTCAGATACATTTTACTAATTTTCTTTCATCTCTGACATCTCTATTATAGAAAAAGGGAAAAGAGCAATTATTAAAATACTTCCTGTAATTAATTCCCTTTTAATGTATACACATTTCATGCACTGGGCCACTAGTATTTAAATAAAAAGTAAAAAATAAGAGATCTCAATTTCCCTTTTTAACTTTTTAAACCAGTTTCTTCAAGTAAAGTCACAGAACAAAACATACTTTTTTTTGTACTTCAATACTGGAAATTAAGTTAGTTACCTCTCTTAAAACTGTGCTTTTGTAGCCTCGATACAATCCTGGGATGCCCTGAAACGAAAGGAAAGATGGGATGGTAGAGATTTTAGGATCACATTCTGAATAAAGCACAGTAACCTTTCCTAAAGTTTGAGTTTTAAAACGTCCACAATGACCACAGTTCTGCAAGAAGTTAAAGGTTCTAACTGCTCCACTCCTTTAAAATTGAAATATCTCCACTAAGAAAACTGACAGCATATTAATTTAGCTTTAGTTGCTTTCAGTATTTCTTTTGTTGAGAATACTTGAGCTTTAAATAGATTCCCAAAAGCAAATGCACATAAAATGTTGATTATCTTTTCATGGTTTCAATCAGAAGACTGATGTCTTCATTAATAACCACTGGACAAGCCTTTGCGTATCTATTTCATGTCCACATGATTCTTCAGGAACCCTCTACTGGGTTGATCTCACTCATAAAATTAAACACTCGCATCTCCTCGAGGAGACACAGGGACTATTATGAATAACTTTTCTACAATCTAGACTCATTGAAATTTCCATGTAATTGACATGGGTAAAAAACAAATTTTTAAGTTAACTTTTTAAAGGCTTCTGTAGAAACTATGAAGGAAAGCAACACAACTGCTCCTAGTCCCATGGACAATAGGATGACTCCTGATCCACAGCTTAACACTAACCAGTAAAAGGGGATTACAGTTGATATAAACACTATGATGTTGGTGACAGTCCATAACTACACTTCTCTTCCATAAGCCCTCAGATTCTGTAGTGATGTTACATATTTACTATTTATTACATGTCTGATTCCAAAAGAAATATGGAAGATTACAATGTATAATAGGACTCATACAGTAGAGGCACTCAATATGTATTTGTTTAGAATTAAAAAAAAAAAAAATCCAAAAACAAATACAGAAAAGAAAACTATAATCTTAGCACAGAAAGTTACTGCAATTGGACATTAAATTCAGCTGTAAGGTCACTTCTAGACTCCTGATAAAAGCCTCACAGTGCTCATACTAGCTGCTATAAAATCTCTCTCAATAAAGAAAAAAAAAAGAACTTAAAAACATATCTCACCTCTTGATATAAGATGTTAGAGAAAATCTGAAAAGTTCTTGAAGAAGCAGAAACCTGTGCCCTCTGCTTAACTACTTCAGAAGGAACTCGAATAAGGCAGGCCACCTAAAATAGATAAATATAAGTACATCTAAAAATGAAGTAATTGGAACAAAAATTGAAATTTTTTCATATCCAAAAATTATTTATATATGTGTGTATATACAATATATGTACACACACACACACACACACACACACACACACATATATATATGGGCCGGCAATGCCTTCCCTCCGGCCAGGAGCTGCCTTTCCGCCTTCCCAACACTGCCCGGGGGCGTGGAGCTGCAAGGGCAGTGCAGAAAGCCTGCATCATCACCCTGCCATTGGCTACTTTGTGCCTGCATATGCAAATTAATCATCCATCTTTGTTGGGTTAATTTGCATAGTCATTCCTGACTGGATGGTGGGCATCGTGGAGAAGGAAAACCACATAACCAGACATCCTGAAAAGAGAGACCATGGGGAGACAAAGAAATAGCCCGCACGTGAAAGAAAAGCAGGCATCACCAGAAAAGGAAGTAAACAAGTTACAGGCAAACAACCTACCAGAGCAAGAATTCAGAGTAATGATCATAGGATGGCTAACAAGAATGGAAGAGAAATTTGATTATATGAATAAGAAACAAGAGGAAATGAAGAAGAACCAAGAGGAATTGAAGAAGAACCAAGAGGAAATGAAGATGAACCAAGAAGAAATGAAAAATGACATAGCTGTTATGAAGAACTCAATAGAAAGCATCAAGAGTAGACGAGAAGAAGCAGAGGACCGCATCAGTGAGCTAGAAGACAAGATGGAAAAAAATACCCAATTAGAGCAGCTTCTGGAAAAAAAAAAAAAATTAAAAAGCAGGAGGAGAGCCTTAGGGGACTTTGGGACAATACAAAACAAAACAATATTAGAATAATAGGGGTTCCAGAAGGAAAGGAAACTGAGGACGACATGGAAAATGTATTTTAAGAAATAATGACAGAAAACTTTCCTGAGATAGAGAAGAAAAAACCCACACAAATCCAAGATGCTTGCAGGGTCCCAAGCAAAATGAATCCCAGAAGACTGATGCCAAGGCACATTATAATTAAATTGGCAAACACCAACGACAAAGTAAGAATCTTAAAAGCAACCAGAGAGAGACAGAAAGTTACATATAAAGGACCCCCCATCAGACTAGCAACTGATTTCTCAACAGAAACTCATCAGGCCAGAAGGGAATGGGATGAAATATACAAAGTCATGCAAAGAAAGGGTCTGAATCCAAGAATACTGTACCCAGCAAGGCTATCAATCAAAATTGAAGGTGTAATCAGGAGGTTCACAGACAAAAAAAGACTAAAGGAATTTATCTCCACAAAACCAGCAATGCAAGAAATGCTAAAGGGTCTACTGTAAAAATACAGAAATAGGAAGCGAAGAAGGAACACAGGGGTATAGAACAAAAATGGTGTCAAATGAGTACCTATCAATAATATCTTTAAACGTAAAGGGATTAAATGCTCCAATCAAAAGACATAGGGTAACAGATTGGATAAGAAAACAAGACCCATTTATCTGTTGTCTATAAGAAACCCACTTCAGAAAAAAAAGATGCACACAGACTGAGGGTGAAGGGATGGAAAAAGGTTTCCCAGGCAAATGGAAATTTAAAAAAAGCTGGGGTAGCAATATTTATATCTGACAATTAGATCTCAGAGTGAAGGACATAACAAGAGATAATGAAGGCCACTTCATAATACTAAAGGGAGCAATCAAACAAGAAGAAATAACCCTGGTAAATATATATGCACCCAATATGGGAGCACCCAAATACATTAAAAGAAACTGCTGGAGGACATTAAGAGAGAGATTAATAGCAATACAATCATAGTATGAGATTTTAATACCCCACTGTCACCTTTGGACAAATAATCTAAACAAAAAAAATCAGCAAAGAAATATCAATACTAAATGACTCACTAGACCAGTTGGAATTAATCGACACCTTCAGAACATTCCACCCCAAAGCCACAGAATATACATTCTTCTCAAGTGCACATGGGTCATTTTCAAAGATAGACCACATGTTGGGACATAGACAAAGTCTCTTCAAATTCAAGAAGATAGAAATCATATCAAGCATCTTCTCAGATCATAGTGGCATAAAACTAGAAATTAACTACAATAAAAATAATCCAAAGAAATCAAACACATGGAGACTAAACAGCATGCTATTAAACAAGGATTGGTTACCAGAGAAATCAAGGAAGAAATTAAAAACATCCTGGAAACATATGACAATGAAAACACAACAATCCAAAATCTATGGGATACAGCAAAAGCAGTTTTGAGAGGGAAGTTCATATCTCTACAAGCCTATTGCAAAAAACAAGAAAAAATGGTAACAAATTTTCTAACTCTACAACTCAAAGAGTTAGAAAAAGAGCAACAAAAAAAGCCCAGTGTAAGCAGAAGGAAGGAAATAATAAAAATCAGAGCAGAGATAAACGACATAAAGACCAAAGAAACAATACATAAGATCAACAAAACCAAGAGCTGGTTCTTTGAAAGGATAAACAAGATTGATGAACCTCTAGCCAAGCTAACCAAGAAACAGAGAGGACTCAAATAAACAAAATCAGAAATAAAAGAGGTGAAATAACAACAAACCCCGCCAAAATACAAAGAATTGTTACAAAATACTACGAACAACTCTATTCCAACAAACTGAACAACCTGGAGGAAATGGACATATTCCTAGAAAAATATAACCTTCCAAAACTCAATCAGGAAGAATCTAAAAAGCTCAATAGACCAGTGATTTGGGAAGAAATTGAAACAGTCATCAAAAAGCTTCCAGCAAACAAAAGCCCAGGGCCAGATGGCTTCACAGGAGAGTTTTACCAAATATTCACGGAAGAAATAAAACCTATCCTCCTCAAACTATTCCAAAAAATTCAAGAGGAAGGAACACTTCCAAATTCCTTCTATGAAGCCAGATCACCCTAATACCAAAACCAAATAAAGACAACTCAATGAAAGAGAATTACAGGCCAATATCCCTCATGAACATAGATGCCAAAATCCTCAACAAAATTCTAGCAGAATTACAGGCCAATATCCCTCATGAACATAGATGCCAAAATCCTCAACAAAATTCTAGCTCCAGCAGAACATCACAAAGATCATACACTATGACCAAGTAGGATTTATTCCAGGAATGCAAGGATGGTATAATATCCGCAAATCAATAAATGTGATACATCACATAAACAAATTGAAAGATAAAAATCATATAGTCATATCAATTGATACAGAAAAACCATTTGATAAAATCCAACACTCTTTCCTGATAAAAACTCTCAACATGGTGGGAGTACAAGGATCATACCTCAACATAATAAAAGCTATATATGATAAACCCACAGCCAACATCATACTCAATGGGCAAAAACTAAAACCATTCCCTCTAAGAACAGGAACAAGACAGGGATGCCCACTCTCACCACTCCTGTTTGACATAGTACTGGAAGTACTAGCAATTGCAATTAGACAAGAAGAGGAAATTACAGACATTCAAATTGGAAAAGAAGAAGTAAAATTATTCTTATTTGCAGATGACATGATATTGTACATAAGAAAACCAAAAGACTCCATTAAAAAATTAATTGACTTAATAAATGAATTTGGCAATGTAGCAGTATACAAAATTAACACCAAGAAATCTATGGCATTTCTATACACCAACAGTGAACTTACAGAAACAGAGACTCAAAAAGCAATTCCATTTACCATCGCACCAAAAAAATTAAGATACCTAGGAATAAACTTAACTAAGCAAGTAAAGGACGTATATGCGGAAAACTACACGACACTGAAAAAAGAGATAGAAGAAGATATAAACAGATGGAAGAACATACCATGTTCATGGATTAGTAGAATCAACATCATCAAAATGTCCATACTTCCCAAAGCAATTTATAGGTTCAATGCACTCCCCATTAAAATACCAATAGATATTTCACTGACCTAGAAAAAAACTCTCCAAAAGTTCATTTGGAAAAACAAAAGACCCCAAATAGCCACAGCAATCCTGAGAAAGAAGAGTAAAGTAGGAGGGATCTCAATACCAGATTTCAAGCTGTATTACAAAGCCACTGTTCTCAAAACAGCCTGCTACTGGCACAAGAACAGACATATAGATCAATGGAATAGAATCGAGAACCCAGATATCAACCCAAATCACTATGCTCAGTTAATATTTGATAAAGGAGGCACGAACATACAATGGAGTCAAGACAGTCTCTTCAATAAATGGTGTTGGGAAAATTGGACAGATACATGCAAAAGAATGAAACTTGATCATCAACTTACACCATACACAAAAAATAAACTCAAAATGGATATAGGACTTAAACATAAGACGGGAAACCATAAAAATACTAGAAGCATCCACAGGCAGCAAAATCTCAGACATATGCCAAAAGAACTTCTTCACTGATACTGCCCCTAGGGCAATGGAAGCTAAAGAGAAAATAAACAAATGGGACTACATCAAAATAAAAAGCTTTTTTACAGCAAAAGAAACCATCAACAAAACAACAAGAAAGCCCACTGTGTGGGAGAACATATTTGCAAATGTTACCACTGATAAAGTTTTACTCTCCAACATTTACAGACAGCTTATAGAACTAAATAAAAGGAAGATGAATGATCCAATTAAAAAATGCGCAATGGAACTAAATAGAATATTTTCAAAAGAAGACAGATGGAAGGACAAAAGGCACATGAAACATGCTTAAAGTCACTAATTATCCGAGAGATGCAAATCAAAACAACAATGCGGTACCATCTCACACCTGTCAGAATGGCCAACATCAACAAATCAACAAACGACAATGTTGGCGAGGTTGCGGAGAAAAAGGAACCCTCGTGCACTGCTGGTGGGAATGCAGACTGGTGCAACCACTGTGGAGAACAGTATGGAGTTTCCTCAAAAAACTGAAAATGGAACTCCCATTTGACCCAGTAATCCCACTCCTAGGAATATATCCCAAGAAACTAGAAACACCAATCAGAAAGGATATAT